ACGTGGACACCAGAACACAAGTTTGACAACATGACAGCGTTTGACAACATGACAGCGCAGTGCATCTTGGGCTCGCTGCGTGAGTTGACGCAGGTGACATGTCAGGTGACACCTGTGTAAGGGCGTTACATAACTTACACACACGTGTGAGGGTGTTACATAACTTACACAGGTGTGTGAAGGTGTTACATCACCCACACACCTGTGTGAGGGCGTTACATCACTCACACACCTGTGTGAGAGCGTTACATCACCCACACACCTGTGTGAGGGTGTTACATCACCCACACACCTGTGTGAGGGTGTTACATCACTCACACACCTGTGTGAGGGTGTTACATCACCCACACACCTGTGTGAGGGTGTTACATCACCCACACACCTGTGTGAGGGTGTTACATCACCCACACACCTGTGTGAGGGCGTTACATCACCCACACACCTGTGTGATGCCATGTGTTACACAACGCACACAGCGTCTGAGATATTCAAATGTATTCGGTGTGGTAGGTTTTCAGTGTAGCCTCAAACATCACTGTGGATGGCGGTGTGGATGAGGGAGGGGGGACGTGGCGGATAAAGACGGGGGGGGGGGCTGAGAAGGCAGCAGCTAGAGGCCCCCGATTTCTTCTTAAAAACAATATAAAATTATAATTTCCTACAGACTTTGTTAAAGTTGACCACACACAGACATAACATAAAGTTGACCAAAAAAAAAAGCGCAAGTGAATTTATAAAGTACTAATAATATTCCGCACTATTATGCACATTTTGTTTGGCGTTCACTTGATGTGCGATTCTTTTTTCTACGAGATTTTATTCTATTTTAAAAAGTTTAAGTATTTAAAATGGATTAAAAATCATGTCTATAGCCCGAGTTGCCATCCCCTGTATTTTTATGTTCGTATATTCGAGAAAGTTTAGGGGAGATCACTCCCGGTTTATTATTTTATAGATTTATCAAGGATGTAAGCAAAGTATAACGGGTGTAAGCAAATTACTCAGAACGTAAATGATACTACTCAAGTATTAAAGATGGGTTTCAAAAATATGTTCCTGCTAGTTTCACCATTTTAACATAAACCAATTTTTGTCATATTAAAATTTCAAACGCATCATTTTGTGTATCAGTAAACGATTGGACTAATTGAGTTTTTGCCAGTACACGGAATATGTTGCTAGTGTTGAAATCATGTCATTACTCATCAGATGTCCACTTGATATGGCTTGAGAATTTTTTGTTTTCCTTCACCTCTATCGTCTGCTCGGTTGGTTAGTGCTACATAGATCTAGATCTATTCGTTTCTTTGGTTGGCTAGTGCTACATAGATCTAGATCTATTCGTTTCTTTGGTTGGTTAGTGCTACATAGATCTAGACCTATTCGTTTCTTTGTTTTCTGATAGATTCGAACTCATTTCTGTTTTTCACATGCTAGTACGGATATCCAACCTTACAAAACAAAATAAGTGCTATCTAGCTGGATATAAATTTAGCCATACCACTTACAGCAGCGTTTTTTACGTTCAAGATTTATTTCAACCATTTTAAAAATGCCTGAAATGCTTAAATTAAAGTAATTCAAATTTTATGTTTGAAACTAGTTCTTAAATCAAATGAAAAATCACACACACACACACACACACACATATATATATATATATATATATATATATATATATATATATATATATATATATATATATATATATATATATATATATATATATATATATATTCCGGTTTAATCCGCTATGACGAGATGACTGAATGATTGAACTTGTGACAATCTTAATGATTGAACTTGTGACAATCTTAATGATTGAACTTGTGACAATCTTAATGACTGAACTTGTGACAATCTTAATGATTGAACTGATAATCTTGATGATTGAATGACGGATACTTAATGACTTGATTGGGAGTCTATCCCAATTAAACGGTTGACACACTTTCTATGTGAGAACACAACTTGACCCACACACCTAAACCCACACAACTTAACCCACACACCTAAACCCACACAACTTAACCCACACAACTTAACCCACACACCTAAACCCACACAACTTAACCCACACAACTTAACCCACACAACTTAACCCACACAACTAAACCCACACAACTTAACCCACACAACTTAACCCACACACCTAAACCCACACAACTTAACCCACACAACTTAACCCACACAACTTAACTTACACAACTTAACCCACACAACTAAACCCACACAACTTAACCCACACAACTTAACCCACACAACTTAACCCACACAACTTGACCCACACAACTTAACTTACACAACTTAACCCACACAACTAAACCCACACAACTTAACCCACACAACTAAACCCACACAACTGAACCCACACAGCTAAACCCACACAACCCACACAACTTAACCCACACAACTTAACCCACACAACTTGACCCACACAACTTAACCCACACAACTTAACCCACACAACTTAACCCACACAACTTAACCCACACAACTAAACCCACACAACTTGACCCACACAACCCACACAACTTAACCCACACAACTTAACCCACACAACTTAACCCACACAACCCACACAACTTAACCCATACAACCCACACAAGTAAACCCACACAACTTAACCCACACAACTTAACCCACACAACCCACACAACTTAACCCACACAACTTAACCCACACAACCCACACAAGTAAACCCACACAACTTAACCCACACAACTTAACCCACACAACCCACACAACTTAACCCACACAACTTAACCCACACAACTTGACCTACCTTTACCGAAACATTTTAAAATCTCGGTATATGACCCCTATGTTTCTCATTTTCCCTAACACATTTCTAGCCCCCCCCCCCCCCCCATATTTGAAGTTGAATGTTAAATTGAAAAATTCACCAATGTCTATTTTTAATCTGCGGCCGACAATCTTGTATTGATTGGGGACACAGCGAAAAAAAATTGATTTTTTAAAAAGTTGATCTTACAATAATTGTCTGGCTCTATGCTAGTTACTGATGCACGTCTGGTGGGTCTGGGGGTGGGGGGAGGGGCGCCTGGGGGGGGGGGTGCTTGCATGTACCACAATCAGTTGCTGGCAAAAGTGCACAAGGTGAAGTAGAGTTTTTTTAGAATTTGTGCTACTGGAAAGATGTGGGTGGGGTCGGTAGTTGTGGGCAGGGATGAGTGGTGTGGGTAGGTGTGACTTGGGGTGGGGGTTGGTGTTTAGTGACTTCGATATTGTAGAAAAAAAGAAGGCATATTTATAAATAAATTAACTGTGTCGTTAGTTAGTTATGTGTGTAATGAGTTGTGTCGTTAATGAGATGTGTCATTTCTGATTTGCGTCGTTGTTCAATGAGTTACGACATTAATAGGTTGTGTCTGTCATTAGCTCTCCTTTTAATGAGTTGATTAACTCAACATTAGCATGGACATTCAATAACTTAATCATTTTATTATTTTGTCGGAACAGTTCGTTTGTCGCAATTTATTTTTGGCTTTAACATACGCTCCAACATTTTAACACACGCACAAAAATTTAAAATTCATCAATAGAATAAAATTAAAAATATTTTAACATGCACAAATATTTCGCATATTTACATGCGCAAATATTTTAAAAACTTTAAAAACACACAAAATATTTGAGCAGACAAGGGGACCAACACACCATGACCTAGACACTAGGACCTAGACAATAGGACCTAGACACTAGGACCTAGACACTAGGACCTAGACACTAGGACCTAGACACTAGGACCTAGACACTAGGACCTAGACACTAGGACCTAGACACTAGGACCTAGACACTAGGACCTAGACAATAGGACCTAGACACTAGGACCTAGACACTAGGACCTAGACACTAGGACCTAGACAATAGGACCTAGACACTAGGACCTAGACAATAGGACCTAGACACTAGAACCTAGACACTAGGACCTAGACACTAGGACCTAGACACTAGGACCTAGACACTAGGACCTAGACACTAGGACCAAGACACTAGGACCTAGACACTAGGACCTAGACACCAGGACCTAGACACTAGGACCTAGACAACAGGACCTAGACACTAGGACCTAGACACAAGGACCTAGACAACATGAGTGTTATGGCCAGCCTTTGATTTTTTGATGTCAAGTCTCTCGGTTATTGAACTTGAACACTTGTTCAATCTTTGATTGATGTTCGATTGATGTTCGATTTATGTTCGATTGATGTTCGATTGATGTTCGATTAGTGAGATCGACGGCCAGCTTTGTTGTATGTTGGTCTTTGATCCAACATTTAATTATAAAACTACTTTTACATACAAAAATCAAAGTACACTTTTGATTGTACAATCAAAGCATAGATTGTATAATACAATCAAAGCATAAATTGTATAACACAATCAATCCAAAGATTGTACAACATAATCCAAAGATTGTACAATACATTACAGAGATTGAGCGACACAATCCAAAGATTGTACGACACAATCCAAAGATTGTATGACACAATCCAAAGATTGTACAACACAATCCAAAGATTGTACAACACATTCCTCTACATGCGATGAAGGTTGAAACACCCAGACGCCCCCCCCCCCCCACCTTGGTGTCGTGTCGTACCCCACTCTTTAATTAGGAGCGCCCGATTACAATTTTAAGGCACTATTTAATGAGCTCTCTAATTAGCGCCCGATTATAATTTAAGACACTATTTAATGAGTTCTCTCAAATTAGATTTGTGTGCCGTTATTCTGTTTGAAAGATTCAATATAAGACGTACTATCGAGAGTTATGTCATGATTTTACATTGATCACATTTTGTACTATCGAGAGTTATGTCATGATTTTATATTGATCACATTTCGTATGATAATTAGCTCAGAATATTTTGATGATTATAAATGAAAGATTAAGTTAAAACCACAGCTAAGCTAACCAAACACATCATAACCCTAACCCAGTCAACAAACAAACAAACAAACAAACAAATTACCTTGGGGGTGAGCTCGTTTAATCCAGTGCTGGACGCGCGTGAGTATCCCAAGCTCGTGCACGGTGCCGTCTGGCGCTGGTGCCAGCCCCACGTCGTACTCACGGCATGGGCGCGTCAGGCGTGCTGGAACTGCTCGCTGTAACTGTGGGTGAGCGAGGGGTGGGGAGCGAGGGGTGGGGGGTAGGGGGTGGGGAGATAAATGTGTTGACTATTGGAATACAGCGATGCGGGCATGGGGTGGGGGTAGTTAGGGGGGTGGGTGTGTGATACTTTAAGCCATCCAATCCAAACAAATTTATAATTTAATCCGACTGGCCGCGGGACGAATGTACAGCAACATCAAGCCATCACACTCGCAGCAACAACATTTCTCTCTCGTCTAATGTGGGACTTTTTTTTTTACAGGGGAATCTTGCGCACAAATAACATTTTTATTTACCAGCAGTCGCTATACATTGGTAAAGTAATTAGTGGTACAGTGATTAGGGGTACAGTGACTAGGGGTACAGTGACTAGTGGTACAGTGACTAGGGGTACAGTGACTAGGGGTACATTGGTACAATGACTAGTGGTACAGTGACTAGTGGTACAGTGACTAGTGGTACAGTGACTAGGGGTACAGTGACTAGGGGTACAGTGACTAGTGGTACAGTGACTAGGGGTACAGTGACTAGGGGTACAGTGATTAGTGATACATTGGTACAATGACTAGTGGTACAGTGACTAGGGGTACAGTGACTAGGGGTACAGTGACTAGGGGTACAGTGACTAGGGGTACAGTGACTAGTGGTACAGTGACTAGTGGTACAGTGGTAAAGTGACTAGTGGTACAGTGACTAGTGGTACAGTGACTAGTGGTACAGTGGTACAGTGACTAGTGGTACAGTGACTAGTGGTACAGTGGTACAGTGACTAGTGGTACAGTGACTAGTGGTACAGTGGTACAGTGACTAGTGGTACAGTGACTAGTGGTACAGTGACTAGTGGTACAGTGACTAGTGGTACAGTGACTAGTGGTACATTGGTACAATGACTAGTGGTACAGTGACTAGTGGTACAGTGACTAGTGGTACAGTGGTACAGTGACTAGTGGTGCAGTGACTAGTGGTACAGTGACTAGGGGTACAGTGGTACAGTGACTAGTGGTACAGTGACTAGTGGTACAGTGGTACAGTGACTAGTGGTACAGTGACTAGGGGTACATTGGTACAATGACTAGTGGTACAGTGACTAGTGGTACAGTGACTAGTGGTACAGTGACTAGGGGTACAGTGACTAGGGGTACACTGGTACAGTGACTAGTGGTACAGTGACTAGTGGTACACTGACTAGTGGTACACTGACTAGTGGTACAGTGACTAGGGGTACAGTGACTAGTGGTACAGTGACTAGGGGTACACTGGTACAAAGACTAGTGGTACAGTGTCTATTCTCTTCAGTCTGAAGATGTGTCTGGTTTAAATCCGTGAATTCAACCGACGAAAATCTTTGACCTTCCCTGACGTCACAACAACAATGGCCGCCCTGAGCCGATTAATTCGTCTGAGAAAATGTGCGCTATGATTGGTTGGCTGGTTGCAATAGCCCAGCAGAGATTGAAAAGCAACGTTTTGATTGGCCGGTGATGTATTCACTGCTGGCTAGTTTCTTTTCAGTGCGTTGTATGTCTGTGTGTCTGTGTATGTGTATGTGGCTGTGTTTGTCTGTGGTTTTGTGTGTTAGTGTACGTGAGATCATGCCTGTCTGAGTGTGTTTGTGTGTTCGTGTGTGTGTTTGTGTATGTGTGAATCTCTGAATTGATGTGAGTGTGTGGGAATATCACGTTTTGACTCTGGCTCCGTTACATGGAATTTCTGGCCATCTCAAAAAACAAACTCCCCTTTTTCCATGTTTTTCCTGATCGAGATTTATTTCAGCTCTAATCAACACTGATATTTGACACAAAGCATTTAGCGGAGAGAGCGGAGGGGGGAGGGGGTGGAAGGATGGGGGGGGGGGGGGGCTGCACAATTTTAAAACTGGCTGTGGAGGTTGTAGCAGACGTCAGTGAGTTGCAGCCTTTAAAGAATGTTTTCACGTCTACCATATTGTTGAATATGAAATGTTTTCACGTCTACCATATTGTTGAATATGAAATGTTTTCACGTCTACTATATTGTTGAATATGAAATGTTTTCACATCTACTATATTGTTGAATGTGAAATGTTTTCACGTCTACTATATTGTTGAATATGAAATGTTTTCACGTCTACTATATTGTTGAATATGAAATGTTTTCACGTCTACTATATTGTTGAATATGAAATGTTTTCACATCTACTATATTGTTGAATATGAAATGTTTTCACATCTACTATATTGTTGACTATGAAATGTTTTCACATCTATAATATAATCGGGCTGAGCGTGTCCTTCCGTCCGTCATCGCTATAGATTTTGGGACTATAAAAGTAAGCTACGCACCACGCTGTGCTTTTCAGTGCACCGCAGTGTCTTATTATAAGTATTAGAGTAGGGTTTGTTTATATAGCGGCATAGAGCTAATTTATAATTTCCACTGTTTGTACAATTTTGCATAACGTAAAGAGAATATTAAATACACGCACATTGCTAAAACATATTAAAAGGATCAATGTCAAATATTGTTTTCTTTTTTATGCCTGAGAAAGGTGGAAACATTTTAATAATGTAATAACAGTAGGCTAGAAAAATCAAATTAATTTAACTCTTTTTTCTAATTTTGACAAGGGAGGTAATTCAAAAATAAATTTAACTCACGCTAATAAAAAAAAATGTGAATGCAAATGTACGGACGTACTAGAAGGAATTAGTGTTGCAATAATATAATTAGCAAAATGTGAATGCAAATTGTGCGGATGCGGATTGTTAGAAAATTATAATTAGCATGGATTGATAAAAGGCAATCTTTTATTTATTTCATTCACTGAATTTACTGTTTACTATTTATAATTTTTAATCGACTATTCCGCAATATTATAGGCGCGTCATCACCTTCATTGGGTGGATGGTGCGCAATGGTTTTAGTTATGAAACTCTATTGTAAATTTTTAAAATTTAAAGTACTGGGGGAAAAAATGCGTGAATGGATAAAGTGAAATATTTAGGTGAAACACGGATATTTTAAATACTGCCTATTATTTATACTGTTTACTAATTATTATTCTATCTTTCGGTTTGAGGACAAGTTAGGGGTTTTATAGGAGAGGCGTAGCGAGGGGAGGGCATATGTCCCCGGGTGCCGACCTTAGGGGGCGCCAAAGTGGGTTGGAAAAAATGTGCGAGGGGGGGGGGGTGGGGGTGGAAATCGAAAGTTTTAGGGAGGGGGGGGAAGGAGTGCAAATCGAAAGTTTGAGGGGGGTGCAAATCACCGGAAAGGGCGCGATTTGGCGCTACGGGCTAGACTGTGAGCAATATGCCTGTATGAATGCATTTAAATTGTGTCTATGTTATGAGTGTTGTGTTTGTTTGTTCGTTTTTTTTTTTGTTTTTTTTTTTGCGTTCGTTTGTGTTGTGTTTAGTTTTGTTCTGTTCCCAAGTTGGTACATTTTAAAAAGATTTACCGTGGCGGAGCACGGGATGCAGCTAGTCTACTATATTGTTGAATATGAAATGTTTTCACGTCTACTATATTGTTGAATATGAAATGTTTTCACGTCTACTATATTGTTGAATATGAAATGTTTTCACGTCTACAATATTGTTGAATATGAAATGTTTTCACGTCTACTATATTGTTGAATATGAAATGTTTTCACGTCTACTATATTGTTGAATATGAAATGTTTTCACATCTACCATATTGTTGAATATGAAATGTTTTCACGTCTACTATATTGTTGAATATGAAATGTTTTCACGTCTACTATATAATTGAATATGAAATGTTTTCACATCTACCATATTGTTGAATATGAAATGTTTTCACATCTACCATATTGTTGAATATGAAATGTTTTCACGTCTACTATATTGTTGAATATGAAATATTAACACTACTTGGATTTAGACGATAAACTTTTATAATTGACTGTTATCATGCCTATACAAAATAACTAACGGTGGGGGGGGGTGGGGGGTGGGGGGGGGGGGTTGAGATCTAAATATGATTGGGATCCTCATTGGACCGTCTAACAGGTGGCACCAACCACTCGCAGGCCTGCAGGGGTGAGGAGATGTTGCCAGAATGTTCCAGCGTTTGTCTGAGGCCAAAGGTCTCGTCCCCTCTGTGACGTCATCGTGTGGGTTAACAAGCCGAGAGAGGTCTTGATGGACAAACACACTTGACCCTTAACCCCCCCCCCCCCCCCCACACACACACCACACAGCAAATAGGGCTCAACAAGCTGGGGGGGGGGTTGAAGTTCTAGCGGTCTGAAATCTACTTCATAGACTGGGCAATCTATGCTTCATAGACTGGCTAATCTATACTTCATAGACTGGCTAATCTATACTTCATAGACTGGCTAATCTATAATTCATAGACTGGCTAATCTATACTTCATAGACTGGGCAAACTATACTTCATAGACTGGGCAATCTATGCTTCATAGACTGGCTAATCTATACTTCATAGACTGGGCAATCTATGCTTCATAGACTGGCTAACCTACACTTTAGATGTGGCAGATGTACGGACCAAACGTCTGCCATGAGTTAGTCTGACAGAAGAAGTTGGATGAAGGCGTTAGTTAGGGGTAGCATTAGTGTTCGGGTAAGCCTTGGGGTTGGGGTTAGGGTTTGATTTAGGATCATGGTTTGGGATAGGGTTTAGGTTATGGTTTGGGTTAGGGTTTGGGTCTAATTTTGGGTTTGGGTTAGGGTTTGGTTTGAAAAGAACGATTTCTGTAATACGAAGGTCAAGGGTACTGTTTGATAGTTTGACCACGTGACCTTCCTCCTTGACCATTTGACCTCTCTCCATAACCTTTCTAGTTGACCTACGACCTGTCTAATAGACCAAGTGATCTGTCCGTCTAGTTGACTTCGTGACCTCTCAAGTAGCCAACGATATGTCGCCACGTCTGCCCAACAACTGTCTAACACAGTGAAGAGCTGAGTTGAT